ACACATACACTGCAATACTCACACACACACACTGCAACTGTTACACATACATACTGTCCCACACATACACTGCCGCCCTCACACACGCTACAACCTTCACACACACACACTGCTCACACACCGTCCCCCTCACACACAAACACACACACTGCACCCCTTACACATTGCACCACTCACACACACCACTGCTCCTATGCCCTACTACTGCCCCATTTCCCAGCAGACCTCAGGTAAATTGTCAAACTGTTCTTAAATGGTTTGACTACTTACTGTGGGAGGGGGTCCCGGCACTATTGACACCATAACCACTACACTGAGCTGTAGTGGTTATTGTGTCTGGATTATTTCTTTAAATAATCTACAAGTGCCCCTCCCGAGATCAGGCTCTGCATCCGCCACTACACAGGAGGCTAAGAATTTTCTAAGAAACATGTTAAAAGACAGTAGAAATAACCCATGGAATCGCTAGACCTAAATGATAAAGTGAAGGTTTCACAATGGGTACAAAACCGCATTGAGTATGGTGTTTTGCATATCCATGAATTGTACATGGATCCCTGTGCCATGATTCTGGATCCATGTCGATATACAGATGTTGCACAGGACTCTGAACTGCTGGATGAGCTTCAGAATTTGTACTGCAAAAAATCTTTTGTTTTTCTCGGCTGTGGTGAGACTCTGCGGGATCAGATTTTCCAGACACTTTTCCTCTGCAATGTGCAATGTGCAGAATTAAGTCAGTATGGAACATTATATGCTAGTATGTAAGGAGAACGCAGAAACCTTCTATAAGCTTCAGGCCGATATGTTGCTAAATGGCATCAAACATATATGGAGAGTCATTCACTAACTTTCCAACATATATGAAAAGGTTGTCTGCATTCATAGGCAAACAGAGGGATGAAGATAGCGCACATGCACAAATTGAAATGCTGTGTGAACCAGTTGCTAACATCCCACCAACTCCCCAAAAGAGGAAGCTTGATGAAAACATTGGAATTGGGAAAGCAGCTAAGTTGAAGTCCTGAAATGAGAGGACACTTATTACTAACTCAATAAAGGGCTTCTGAATTCTTAAATAATTATGTCCAATCAAATTGTCATTTTGTACCAAACTTAATGAATGTGACTAGTGACTATGAGTAGCTTAGATTTTTTGAGGACTGTATAACTAGTAGCAAGTGTTTATGCTCTGTATCTCTATGGGAATGACATATGCCGCTTTCAGAAACAAATATCGATAGTGACATTACAAGCTACAGAACAGAAAGAACACTGTGAGGACATCTGTCTACCTTAGAAGGCCTTTTTTTCCCAGCTTTGTACGTTTATCTTCTACGTATAAAAATACAGCAGAATAAAGGGCTACGTGTGGATCTAACACGTCACATGCGTGCTTACTCCTAACGCATGCTTTGGTTTAAACCCTTTCAGATCACAAAATGTCCATGTATATAGTGGCACATATAAATATTTCTATGCTATATAGAATTCATAGATAGATTTGGTCAGTATGTGAGAGCCTCAGAGATAAATTAACTCTTTGGGTTCCCTTCTCCCCAAAACATTCAAATCCCGCATGCAGTTCTTCAGGTTTCCTAGCATTTTCTTTTACCCCTTATGTGCTATTTTTATCTTCTGGTGTCAAGATGTCCAGGAGTGCACTTTTCATCCTTGATATTAAAGGACCTCCAACATATAAATAATACAATTACTTGGATACATTAACACTGACTTTGTTTCCCTGGCTGCTGGCTCTAGAACCAGCTCTAGATGCAGCAAGGAGGATGGGAGGATATTCAAATAATATATATATATATATATATATATATATATATATATATATATATATATTTTTTATGGCTGTACAATACTGTGAAAAATGTTTATGGAAGGGTACCCCAAAGGAAATACAGCTTTCAGAATCCTTTTTAAGGAATTGTAAGCAGCTTTTTAGAATATTTGGTTTTCATATTTTGTGTTCTAAAATGAAGCAAACTGCTTCAGATGCTTACCATCAAACAGGGTTAAAATGGGATGTTGTAAAGTCTGTAGATTTCTTTGCTCATTACCAAATGTTTAAAGGAGCACTATAGGATCAGGAACACAAACATATATTTCTGACCCACCATCTCGCCTCCCTGGTCCCCTCTTGCCACCCTAAATATAGTACAATCTTACTTGTATTCAAGTCTGCAGCTGCTACCTCTGCCCCTGTTTGCCTGTGAATTGCTTCTGTCTGCTGACATCATCAGAAGTGGTGGTCTGAGCCAGTCACAATGCTTTCCCATAGGAAAGCATTGGATAGGCTAAGCTTGCCAAAGAGGCAGATTAGGGGCAGAGCCAGCACAAGTCAAACACAGCCCTGGCCAATCAACAACTCCTTATAGAGATGAATTGACTCAATGCATCTCTATGAGGAAAGCTCAGTGACTGCATGCAGAGGGTGGAGACACTGAATGGCAGTGCTGCACTCTATGCAGAACTGCCCCAGGAACCACCTCTAGCAACCGTCTAAGGAGTGGCCAGTGGAGATATCGCTAGGCTGTAATGTAAACACCGAATTGTCTCTGTAAAGACAGTGTTTATAGCAAAAAGCCTGAAGAGAATGCTTCTACTCACCAGAACAAATGCAATAAGCTGTAGTTGTTCTGGAAGACTATAGCAAAAGAGCCAAAAAAGGACTTGATCACAAATGTGCATCTCATCCCAAAAAGCCTTCGTTCTTAAGGGGTTAAGACAGGGCCAGATTAACAACCCAGTGGGCCTGGTGCTGACAATTATGACGGGCCTAATTAAAGAATCAGATCGACCAAAAACATTAAAACACTCCCAAGCGTCATGTATCTGATGGAGATGGTGCTGGAGAGAAAGAAAACAGCAACTATAAGAAAACACATACCCTATGCTAATCTCCCTCTAATTTATGTTTTCATCGTTCAAGTAAATCCATAACCCCTAACAGCAGTGTCCAGTCAAGCAGGAAGTCAATGGGCATGGTAAAAGGGTGTGCCACTGACACAAATCACGTAACCTGCCAAAAGGGATGAACATGCCCAAAAAGAGGACGTCTGCCCAAAGAATTATAAGGCTAGCCTGGCATGAATGCATGTCAGGCTGCCTGCCAATCATGCAGCTGGCCAACTAAGGGCATACTATGCAGACAGCACCCTGAGCTTGGCATAAATGTGTCTAATGATGCGCTCGCTCAACGCTTTCTAAGGACTGTCCCCTAGCACTCTCTGGTCCACTTGTCTCCTTACCTTCTTACTAGCAGGCAGACGCTACTGGTATATAGTCTGGGACAGAGAAAAGCTGGATGTAGTGAGTGTAGAAGAAAGGGAACATGCCACAGTGTTAGAGAGACCAAAGTCAGCATTACCTTAAAGGATCACTATAAGGTCAGGAACACAAACATGAATTCCTGTCCCTATAGTGTTAACACCACCATCTAACCCCCTGGGCCCCTCATGCCTCCATAAATATAGTAAAAATCTTACTGTATTCAAGCCTGAAGCTGTAACTCTGCATGCTGTTAGACTCAGAAAAACAAGCAGTCTGCTGACATCATTAGAAGTGGTGGCCTGATCCAATCACAGTGCTTCCCCATAGGATTGGCTGAGACTGACAAAACGGCAAATCAGGGGCAGAGTCAGCATGATTCAAATACAGCCCTGGCCAATCAGCATCTCCTTATAGAGATGAATTGAATTAATGAATCTCTATGAGGAATGTTCAGTGTCTGCATGCAGAGGGAGGAGACGCTGAATGTTTGGATGCATTTTAGGCAGCCATGACCCAGGAAGGATCTCTAACAGCCATCTAAGGAGTGGCCAGTGAAGTTATCACTAGTCTGTAATGTAAAGACTGCATTTTCTCAGAAAAGACAGTGTTTACAGCAAGCCTGAAGGTAATGATTCTACTAACCAGAACAAATTCAATAAGCTGTAGTTGTTCTTGTGACTAGAGTGTCCCTTTAACTATATTCATTGTCAGCCAGTACACACAAGTTTTGTTCCCATACATCCCTCTTAAGTTTCCATACTTAAGTAAGAGTATGTGAAAAGTAGTTAGGGTTGCCACCTTTCTTGGAAAAACATACTGGCCTTACTAATTTGCATAATTAAATATGTATGGGTGATATCACATGATGTAAATCACAAGGAGTGACAATGCTGTAAAATCACCAAAAAACTATTTAGTTTGATTATGCTGTATAGATGGATTCCTCCCAGTGCCCCCATGTGTTGATTACTCCAGGTCTCAGCGTTCCTATGTATCAGTGTCTCAGTGCCCCATGTCTCCCAGTGTCCCCTAGTGTCCCCAGGTCTCCCAGTGACCCTATGTATCACAGTGTCCCTATGTATCAGTGTCTCAATGCCCCATGTCTCCCTGTATCCTCCAGTATTCCTATGTGTCTATGTCCCCATGTATGTGTCACTAGGACACTAGGAAGACGGGGAGACCTGGGGACACGGGGAGACCTAGGGACACAGAGACACTGGGAAACTAGTGGATACTGGCTCGACACATGGGGCCACTGGGAAAATAGGGGACACTTGAAGACATGGGGACACAGACACTAGAGACACAGGCTGAGGGACATGGGGACATTGAGACATGGGGGCACTGGGAGACATGGGGACACTGAGACACCAGGGCCACTAGCTTGGAGACATGGGGACATTGAGACACTTGAGGCACTGGGAGACTAGGGGGCACTGAGACACCAGGGACACTGGCAGGGGACATGGGGACACTGGGAGACATGGGGACACTGTGTCCCCATGTGTCTGTGTCATAATGTCTCCCAATGTCCCTTAGTGTCTCAGTGTCTGCCATAATGTCACCCAGTGTATGTCTCCTTGCAGCCTTCCCCCCATTCCTTACTTCCCTGAGCTGTAGGCTGTCTCTGCAGGGTGGGAGTTGTTGTCTGGACTCTCTGTAGCTGCACCCCTGCAGATCAGTGAGTATAAATAGACAGGGAGGGATTTGCTGGAACTTCCTATCCCTGTCTGTCTCCACACACAGTGACCCCTACTGGCTAGTGCTGGTATTGCAGTAGGGGTCACTCTTGTTTATCCTGAGAAAAATACCAGCATTTGTCTTGCCAATATCACTGCAATATTGGCACCAGCCAGGCAGCCTCAAATACTGGCTGTGCCAATAAAATAAAATCCAGGTGGAATCCCTAAGAGTAATGTGTGAAAAAAAAATGTAAAAAAAAAAAAAAAAAAAAAAATTTTTTTTTTTTTTTTTTTTAATCAATGGGCCTATTCCATGGGCCTGGGCCTGGAGCTGCAGCTCCATCAGCCCCTATGTTATTCCGGCCCTGGGTTAAGAAGTAGCATAGTAACATGTTTGCACATTTTTGTTTGTTCTGAATTTCTCTCAATCATTTTTTTGATCAGATTTCTAAATTTTCCAATGTCTTTGGGATCCCTTTATAGAAATGCATTGATTCAAAGCCAAACTTTTTTCCTGAAAAAGTATATATACACTGATCAGGAACAACATTAAAACCACTGACAGCTGAAGTGAATAACATTGGTCGGATTGTTATAATGGCACATGTCAACGGATGGGAACAGTCAGTTCTTGAATGTCATGTATTGGAAGCAGAGAAAATGGGCAAGCAAAAAGATCTGGGTTTCTTTCATAAGGGCCAAA